TGGCACTTCCAGGAAACGCATGACAACGCAGCCAAAATGGAATCCCAGGTTCACAAGACCCAGGGGAGTTGGGGAATAGACGCGCAACTCCGGGAAATCACATGCGCCGGAGTGGCATACGTGAGAGCGAGAGACTGTGCCAAAAAAGGGGCTGAGCCTTGTACTCACGCATGCCACTTCCACGAAACGCATGACAACGCGGCCAAAATGGAATCCCAGACTCACTAAACCCAAGGGAACTCGGGAATAGACGCGCAACTCGGGGAAATCAGGGACACCGGAAAGGCATGCGTGAGAGTGAGAGCCTGTGCACTATGAAGCACATGGCACGTATGCGAAACAGGGAGTGAGCGTTGTACTCACGCATGCCACTTCCACGAAACGCATGACAACGCGGCCAAAATGGAATCCCAGGTTCACTAGACCCAAGGGACCTCAGGAATACACGCCAACTCCGGGAAATCAGGGGCGCCGGAGTAGCAAGCGTGAGAGTGCGTCCCACCGCAGTATGAGGCACATGTGCGAAACAAGGAGTGAGCGTTGCACTCATGCATGCCACTCCCACGAAACGCATGACAACACGGCCAAAATGGAATCGCAGGTTCACTAGACCCAAAGGACTTTGGGAAAAGACGCGCAACTCCGGGATATCAGGGGCGCCAAGGTGGCATGCGCAAGAGTGCGTACCGCCGCACTATAAGGCACAAGTGCGAAAAAAGGGATTAGCGTTGCACTCACGCATGCCACTTCCACGAAACGCATGAGAACGCGGCCAAAATGGAATCCCAGGTTCACTAGACCCAATGAACCTCGAGAATACACGCGCAACTTCGGGAAATCAAGACCGCCGGAGTGGCATGCGTGAGAGTGTGTACCCCTTACTATAAGGCACACGTGCGAAACAGGGGGTGAGCGTTGCACTCACGCATGCCACTTCCAGGAAACGCATGACAACGCGGCCGAAATGGAATCCCAGGTTTACTAGACCCAGGGGAGTTGGGGAATAGACGCGCAACTCCGAGAAATAACGGGCGCCGGAGTGGCATGCGTGAGAGTGAGAGGCAGTGCACTATGAGGCACATGTGCGAAAGAAGAGGGTGAGCCTTGTACTCACGCATGGCACTTCCAGGAAACGCATCACAACACGGCCAAAAAAGAACGCCAGGTTCACAAGATCCAGGGGAGTTGGGGAATAGACGCGCAACTCCGGCAAATCACGGGTGCTGGAGTGACATGCGTGAGAGTGACAGGCTGTGCCAAAGAAGGTAGTGAGCCTTGTACTCACGCATGCCACTTTCACGAAACGCATAACAATGAGGCCAAAATGGAATCCCAGGCTCACTAGACCCAGAGGAGTTGAGGAATAGACGCGCAACTCCGGGAAATCACGAGCGCCGGAGTGGCATCCGTGAGAGTGAGAGGCAGTGCACTATGAGGCACATGTGCAAAATAAGGGGGTGAGCCTTGTACTCACGCATGGCACTACCAGGAATAGAGGTGCAACTCCGGGAAATCACGGACGCTGGAGTAGCATGCGTGAGAGTCAGTCCCACCTGCGTTAAAGGCACATGTGCTAATTAAGGAGAGAGCCCTGCACGCACGCATGCCACGTCTAAGAAACGCATGACAACGTGGCCAAAATAGAAACCCAGGTTCACTAGACCAAAGGGAGTTCGGGACTAGAGGTGCAACTCCGGGAAATCACGGACGCCGCAGTGGCATGCGTGAGAGTCAGCCTCACCGCACTATTAGCCACATGTGCGAATGAAAGGGTGAGCCCTGCACGCACGCGTCCTGCTTCTAGGAGAGGCATGACAACGCGGCCAAAATGGAATCCCAGGTTCACTAGACCCAAGGGAGGTAGGGAATAGAGGCGCAACTCTGGGAAATCATGGACGCCGGAGTGGGATGCGTGAGAGGCAGTCCCACCCGCGTTAAAGGCACATGTGCCAATAAGGGGTGAGCCCTGCACGCACGCATGCCACGTCTAGGAAACGCATGACAACGCGGCCAAAATGGAATCCCAGTTTTACTAGACCCAAGGGAGGTCGGGAATAGAGGTGTAACTCCGGGGAATCACGGACGCCGGAGTGGCATGCGTGAGAGTCAGTCCCACCTGCGTTAAAGGCACATGTGCCAATAAAGGGGTGAGCCCTGCACGCATGCATGCCACGTCTAGGAAATGCATGACAACGCAACCAAAATGGAATCCCAGGTTCACTAGACGCAAGGGAGTTCGGGAATAGAGGTGCAACTCCGGGAAATCACGGCTGCTGGAGTAGCATGCGTGAGAGTCAGTCCCACCTGCGTTAAAGGCACATGTGCCAATTAAGGGGCGAGCCCTGCACGCACGCATGCCACGTCTAGGAAACGCATGACAACACGGCCAAAATAGAATCCCAGGTTCACTAGACCCAAGGGAGTTCGGGAATAGAGGTGCAACTCCGGGAAATCACGGACGCCGGAGTGGCATGCGTGAGAGTCAGTCCCACCACACTATTAGCCACATGTGCGAATGAAAGGGTGAGTCCTGCACGCACGCGTCCCGCTTCTAGGGAAGGCATGACAATGCGGCCAAAATGGAATCCCAGGTTGACTAGACCCAAGGGAGGTAGGAAATAGAGGCGCAACTCCGGAAAATCACGGACGCCGGAGTGGCATGCGTGAGAGGCAGTCCCACCTTCGTTAAATGCACATGTGCCAATGAAGAGGTGAGCCCTGCACGCACGCATGCCACGTCTAGGAGACGCATGACAACGCGGCCAAAATGGAATCCCAGTTTTACTAGACCCAAGGGAGGTCGGGAATAGAGGTGTAACTCCGGGAAATCACGGACGCCGGAGTGGCGTGCGTGAGAGTCAGTCCCACCTGCGTTAAAGGCACATGTGCCAATAAAGGGGTGAGCACGCATGCCACGTCTAGGAAACGCATGACAACGCAACCAAAATGGAATCCCAGGTTCACTAGATCCAAGGCCGTTCGGGAATAGAGGCGCAACTCCGGGAAATCATGGACGCCGGAGTGCCATGCGTGAGAGTTAGTCCCACCTGCGGTAAAGGCACATGTGCGAATGAAGGACAGGGCTCTGAACGCACGCATGCCACCTCTAGGAAACGCATGACAACACGGCCAAAATGGAATCCCAGGTTCACTAGACGCAAGGGAGGTCGGAGATAGACGCGGAACTCCGAGAAATCACGGACGCCGGAGTGGCATGCGTGAGAGTCAGTCCCACCTGCGTTAAAGGCACATGTGCCAATGAAGGGGTGAGTCCTGCACGGGATGGAATCCCAGGGATCTCGCAACTGAGATCAATGAACAGGAAAAAGCGAGAAAAGTTGGGAAACCAGTAGGAACTAATGTGTCACGTTATGACATTCCTGTAACTCAATCTGGAAGGTAACAACCATTAAAAGCAGCATTTAAAAAAGTTCTTTATGTATTTAAAAGTTCTCTTCGTTTTAAACTATTTAATCGTAATTATGTATGACGACTCCAGGATTAACAATTGAACCAACTGAGCGCGTTTCGTTGTTGTGTGTTATGAAGCTAAACTCATAGCAATCGTCACAGCCAATCAGGAGGAGGCAGACACTCGAGGGAGCCAATGAGAACTCAATGTAAATGACCAGAAGCGCAGGAAAACGTGCGTGATTTAGTCGCAGCAAGCTTTAGTGTGATTCTGATTGCTCGGGAAGGTAGCGAGCGTAAGTTTTCCAAACCAACCACAAATCAAAACCAACGAATCCCAGAGCAACTTCAAGACAGTTGAAAATAACGAAATGTTTTCAGTTTTTGTCAAGACTTCTTCGCAGCTAAAAACAGCGTTCGACCTGCTCTGAAATTTTTAGAGCGATAACAGATGGGGGAAGCCTAAATTTCCCACTAGGGGAATCAAAGATCGACAGAACGAAGCTTACAATGCACTTAAACTTAAGCAGCTCTTTAATTAGTTCATCATACGTGCCATATAATCACTCCTTGTACTCATAATCAACAAACTTGTAATGATCCACTCCCAATCTTGACTTCTCTGGAGCAACTCCACTTATCACCAAGTCCATAAATCGCTACGTAAAGTCCAGTCTCTTCTCCTTAAATTCTAAAGAAGTCATTTCCACATCCGGAGACATCAAGAGTTCAGGTGACAGCACTGGCTTTGGAGATGATTCAAAAGTTGACGGGGAATGTCGACAGATGGGTTTTAACCTACAAAATGAGAGGGATTTTCTTTTTCTCAAGTTTGATTGCGGTATTCTCTAAGCTCGACTGAATTGTCCTGAAGCTCCATCCAACTTAGGTATTATATATACAAGGCTAAAAGATTAGGAAAAATTTATTAAAATGTTTAAAATGTTTTTATTAAAAATGTGATTCCCGATGGAATCCCGATCACAACAATAGATTTCCGGCTAACCAAAACAGGTGCTTTCAATGACTATCGAAAAAGAACAACTCACAGTGTATAGCTAAACCTGTACATGTCTTTCACAATTACGCGCACTAGATGTACTCAGAGCGGTTTTTCCTTTTTTGCTTTCATTGGCAATAGTGATATCTCAAGTCTTTGTGGATAAAGATGTTTGCTAAATAATTTTGCGAATGTTTTAGGGAGAATTTAATTATCAATCACATCTTGGAATTTTAAAAAGTGTTAACAATGCGCCCTTCTAATTAACAATTATTCCACGAGCGCGCGTTGGATATGAGGTGATAGATACGCGCCTCGTTGGCTATAATCATCTCATATCCAACAAGCGCGAGTGGAATAATTGTTTTATTAAAAACGCCCCCAAGAAATTATTTTGTAAGAAGAAAATGGATTTTTTAGCTCCCTTTTGATTTTAAGCTGGCGCGTACGCTTACCATAATTGTAGATTATGGTATATTGGCTGATATACCATAATGGCTAAGCCAATAAAAAGTCTTGAATTGCATTATCCAATGATCCAGTTTTTAATAATTCACATTATCCTCCACTTTTATTGCTGTCTACTCACCACTGTCCCCACAGGGGTTCGTTGTCCCGCCAAGCATGGACTTCTCCTCACAGGACTCCCCAAACTACCATAGCAGACCACGTGACGTCTTCTCAGTACATCTTTCCCGTTATTAGATCTTCTGCGGGATACCTTATTGTAACGATCATGACGTTTGTAATGGCCTACAGGCTTTTTAAGACCGCCTGCTACAAGAACAAGAAAGGGATATTACATGTGATTACAAAAAAAAGTTGACTGTAATTATGAATTCTTGGCAGGAATGGGTGCGTCACTGTGACATTACTCTCTGCAGGGATAGAGAAGAAAAATGTATGCGACCTTCTGCTTTAGTTGTCCTCTTGAGGTTCGAAAAAAACCCTTGTTCTTGGGTTTGATGTCAACACTTTTAACTGTTTTAAAAGCACTGCCAAGTGTAACTTGGCACTATAGATTTGCTACGGATTCACACGCTATTTCGTGACATGGGGCAGTTTATCGAGTGCCGATGACACAAACCTCTCCCGTGCTGTGCCTTTAGGGCTCCTACCGCTGAACAGCATAAGGAGGGCGTCAGTATACTTGGATTCTGCCCGCTGACCACAGAAAATTTAATCATCTTGATGTCAGTTGTAAATTTGGCCTCTGATTCGTCGTTCGAAGAAAAAAGTCCAATAAAGCGCTGGAAAAAGGACGGTTCAGCTGGTGCTACATGAAACGGAAAACAGCAAACATGAAAATATGATACATTTAGCAACAATCCTTTTCCTCATTTTCTAAATGCCTTTTGTTTATCTACCTTGAGAGGTTTGGTTGCTTAGGGTTCGTTGTCTTTTCCTGTTTCTGTCCTCATTGTGATTGTCCAAATTTCTCTTGTTACTCTTTGCTGTCAAGTCAAGGAATGAAAGTGTATCAATAAATCCGCCTAATGCAAATCATTCCTTTGTGAGGTAAAACCAGAGGCAAAACAGAGGACTCGTGACAAAATCAAACTTCCTTTCCCAATTTTACAATTGGGAAAAATTGGGACAAATTGATGTCAGGCAAAAGGAGTCACTCAGCCAATAAGATTGCTGGAAACTCTTACATATTTAAAGGTACACAACAAGGAAAATGAACACACTACCTTTACAACCAGCCTTTTCTTCATCTAGTATGGCTTGAATTGAGTCAATTTCCCACCTCAGAATTGGTTTCACTTTCCAAATTGCTGCAACTAGCTTTTCACGAGTGATCCTGAGGAGGCCATAAAACGGGACTCAACCCCTCATCCAGAGCTAATGAACCCTTTACACTTACATAAATGATATATTCTCCACACATTCATGCAAACATTTACTATGGTACCTACATGGAGAATTTGTTTGATGATCACAAAGCTCTTTAGTCAGTATCACTTCCTAGACTCTTGTATGTAAGGAGAGATTAGATGCTAGTTGCCTCTAAGGATTAAATGGTCAAACGATGAATAAAGATGCCAGACAGCTTGTTCATGCAGACAATTCTTTAAAGCTCTTTTTCACTTAATACCAAAGACTGTTTTGTTTTGTTAACACTCTTCATCTAAGCATTCATTTCTGGTGTCTTTTCATTGGTTCATGCATATCTATGTCTAGGAGGTGCAATTGCCTAGTAGTAGGTGAGCTGGACTCTCAGCTGAGAAGTTTGGGTTCAGGTCATTGCATTGTGCTGTTAGGGAATGCCTTAATGCATTGTGCTGTTACGCAATGCCTCAATGCATTGTGCTGTTAGGCAATGCTTCAATGCATTGTGCTGTTAGGCAATGCCTCGATGCAATAATTTGGATATATCAATTATTTCGTTACTCCCACCGACGCAGCCCCAAACAGTTTCTTTCGAAACTATCAGTCTTTATTCAATGACTCAATGCATTGTGCTGTTAGGCAATGCCTCAATGCATTGTGCTGTTAGGCAATGCCTCAATGCATTGTGCCATTAGGCAATGCCTCAATGCCTCTCTCCAGCTAGGAGTATAAATGATGGACCCTGAAAAGTGATAAAATGCATCTTTAACCTTATGATGGAATGGCATCCCATCAAGAGGGAAGTGGTAACAACCTTAGTCACTTCAAGTTACATGGAAACAGGGATAAGCTCCGACTGATTGGGTCACTTTGCTTGAGTTCAGACTTAATCATACTTTACTGTCACTTCCCCGAGACAGCCATCTCTCTTGTAACAAAGTTCAACTGCATTACTCATGAGAAGAGAGCATTTGTTTACCATTCAATAAAGTTAAAATGACTTACAAACTTGCCGGAGGACGCAGTAATATTGGCAGCACTTGAGCTATTTCTGTCAAAGGAAGGATCTCGACTGCAACACCAAAGAATAATAACATTTGTGACTACCAGTGTCAAAAAGAACAAGTGCTACTTAAGTCATACACAAGCAGTGTCTTTGCATTCTCCAGGGTGGTTAAAAAAGTGGAGAAAAAAGACATGGGGTCTCTATTTGACACATTGCACAGCACCATGGATCAAACAACTTCTTCATTGTACAGCTAATGGATGTAATTCTTAACTACTTATAACCGCTACACCAAAAACAATATCAAGAATCAAACAAAATATCAAACCTGATAAAATATCCAGAAGTGCAAGGGCAACTTGGAAGGTAATAGACAGGCCTGAAATTGAGATGAGCAAAAATCAATCTATACGAAACTTTGCACACTTCTTGTTGTGTAAATATTGTTCTTCACTTGTGTCTAGTTTAACTTTTATTTTTGTCTATAATTGAAAAATTTGAACAAAGGATAAAATCAGCCCATAAGTAATGATTGTATGCAATGGAGGCAAAGTATTAAAAAAAAACCCTCTCTTTTTTTTTAACAGTTCAACCTTTAAGCGTGACTAGCATTTATATTCTGGTTACAATAATTATTACCCCTGAATCACTTTAAGGTCATAAGAATAAAGACATTACCACCAACTAAAGAAGCTCTTGATCGTGCAAATAATTTTGCCCTCGTCAGCACTTTAGGAAAAGTACATTTAAAGAGAACAGTATGGAGAATATGGATGAAACTGATGTTACGGTGCATACGGTTACTCACAAAGAAAACCTCATTTATCACAACCACAGCGCATTACCTTCTGAGAGAAGTAAATCCCAAATGGTGAGCACAGCATCCCAGCATGGAAGAGATGTAAATAGGGCCATAAACCATGGGGTCAGGTACATGAGTGGTGACACACCTTGCACCTCCTAACATTCAGATTTTAACATCACTACATGTAATTCTTGCTAAAAAAGAAGTCTTAATAAAATTATGTGCACTGCACTGCTCTGCTTTTCTCCAAAGAAGAAAGCTATGAATGTCAAAACCTGTGGATTTTTACAATTATACTTTAAAGCTTACCAAATTTTGAAAAAAGATGGCCTTGAAACAATACCTTTTTTAGATATTGGGCCACTGTAGCAACATGCACATTACAATGTCATGCTTCTCACAAATAACACTGATGATAAATTTTTTTAACCTCCCCTTCCTTTCTTAAAATTTCAATTCATCAATGTAACTACTTTGATTGTCAGGTTTTCTTCTAATTGGTCAAACACCCCGGGAGATTGCTGACCTGTCTGTTTAGTGTGATAGAAATGCTCATGATACACTCAAATGAAGGGGCCTGATACCAAGCTGATAAGAATCAATTATGAACCTAGTATTCAAAACTATTGTGGCACAACTTCATCACAATATAGCAAAGACCAGTTTTATCACTCCCAACCTCAAGAAGGCAGAAATGAAAGTGTACAACTAAGCAACCAGAAAAACATCAAAAAGGACTCTACCAGGTGTTTGTATAGCTTGGGACGTCTCTGTTGCATTAGTTTTTCAAAAACTGATGCATGTCTTTGTATCCTGTAGAAGTAATGAATGTCAGACTGTTATATCTTGTGACAATAAATTGATATGTAGTTCGTATCTGCAGGGAAGCTAGTTACACCACACAATCTGCTTTTCTTACATTATTTTGTTATACGATCTTTTAGAATTATTTCTCAGATTAAAAGTGCAATGCTAAAAAGTGTTAAATAGAATCAGCCACTGGGAACTCAAGTAAAACAAAAGAAAAGGAGTTGGCGAGGAAACTTGTTTTCAAAAAAGGAAAGAAGTTTTAATCATTATATCAGATAAATTGGTTGAATCACAGAGTGCAATAAAGCATAGTTCGTTGAAAAAGGAACAGGACAATATGGTCAATTACAAAGCTTTCTCATTGTGTTACTGTCAGGGAACTCACTTGCCAAGTGAATCATTGAAATAGCCAGCTAAGTACTTTGGTCTCTCAAACATGGACACCAAACACCAAAAGGAATCCTACAGGAAGAGGATGAATGTAGATACTTTTAAAACATTGTTCGAGAGTCAAATTTGTCACTGTATTCAATGCTGTGCTCTACGAAAAATTGAATGGAGCCCAGTGCTCTGAAAATGTGAAATCTAGGGTGCCCAGCATATGCTTTGTAGGAAAAAACTAAAATTCCTGAGTCACCCAAGAGCAAAAGTAAGGCGCCAGGGGCCGCCAGACACTGCTAGACCACAGCCTTCGTATTGCGAAAAAGGTTGAGCGTTTGAATAAATTAATTGTAGTTTGAAAGCAAGCCCTGAAGTGCTGTTTTTTAAATTCCAAACAATTTGAATTCTGACAAAAAAAATTCTGTTGTTTCTTAATCATAAAATAAAAAATTAATTTGTCATTTTTTTCAAATTGTCTTTATTTTAGGGCAAAGTTATTCAGTGACAAACACATTCAAGAGTGCATGCTCCATTCAGATGTATGATGTGGAATGGACCATCCTATTTTACATACTAGATCAATGAAACCCTTGGTTTATAGCATATTTATTTTTAAAATATAATCCAACATTACTTTCAATGCACCCCTTAGTGTTCTCTAATACCCTGTTTGCACTTGTTGAATAATTATTGAAAGGAGTCTAATAATTGAGAGAAGAGTCAAACATCGGATCAACCTACCTCCTCGCTCATGTTCATGAGAAGCATTCCTGCATTGTAGGACATGCCTGTGAAAATAACTAGGAAAAATAGGAAAATGTTTCTTAAAAACTAAATATTAAGTGGGTAAAAAAAGTAGTTATTGAGAATCAAGGATCAAGATTCGAGGCTTGAGTGTCAAGTATCAAGGTTTACCTTGGCAATATGACACTTGGGGATTATACATTGCATAGACTGCCACAACTCTAAAGAGTGTGGCTCTTCCTTCTTTTCCTTCACCTGTCCCCTCTATGAACATCTTATGGCTGGGGAAAGATCTGTCTAAATTGATAATAACACACCCAATCCATTCATGAATAGCACATCAGTATAATTCAATTTATTACAATTAGACTGGTAAGTAATTATAGTGCCTAATACAATGCACCATCCACTATTTGAACCAAACTTTTCTGTAATCGTCAATCAGAGTGTATTTTCACTTTTTTTTGTAAATAGTAACAGTACAATACTTGTGCTGTTACATGTATCTAGATTTATCATTTTGTTTGTGAGGGGAAACAAGGATGTGACAAAGCACAGTACATGTGGAAGGAATTTTGTGATTCTTTAATTTGGGCTTCGCATGAGGCAGACAAAAACACACACATTAGTACAGGTATATTTAACTCATATCCTGTCAAAGAAGTCAAGTTTCATTTCCAGTTACTAGAGAGGTACAATTAAACTTCAAGTGGTATACAGCATATTAAGTAAAGATTACAAACTGTTACATTTACCTACGTCCAACATGATTTGTCTAAAAACTGAGATCTGTTTATGAAGATTCCTTTTCCACTCCCTTGTCATGATGACTGTATTGGGGATATCTATTAGATTTTCCTTGTTGCCATCAGCCAGTGATCCTACAAATCAGAAATACAACGTACAGGTACATGTACAAGTACAAGTACATTGATCTGACTCCATAACAAAAGAGTTTGTAGGAAAGAGTTCTTGCCATTCAAGCACAAATAAGGAATAATGAGTTTAACAACTATCTAACAATTGGAATGAAAAGAAAATCCTTGACTTTTGCATATTATAAAATATTTTATTCTTCTGTATCCATGCCACATGTTAATGGCTCTTAGATTGTTTTCTTCCAAGCTAAACTGTTTGAAAACCTGAAGCTGCCGTTGGGTATTTAAGACAGCTTATTATCGCAAACATTTAAGAGTAGAAAGTTGTCACCATTTTGGAATACATGTACAGCTGAGTTGGTTGGCTTGGAATTGACGTGTCAGGTCAACTATAAAAACCAGTAGAAATCAAGGAGGAGCCTTTTTAAAGAGGCTCTTTACAATTTATGATTCCATGGCATGGATTCTACTAAAGGGAAGATAGAAATCACACTTGAAAGCATTATACATTACGAAGGTAAGATCAGATTGAAATGCTTATCTTAATCTCACCAACAATATGTCCCAATCTTGAAATACAGTTTGCCCCTCCATATTCACTGACTCCCAGGTCAACAAGAAGTTGGCGTATCTCTGCTAGGCAGGCCTAAGAAATAAATGCATGAAATTAAGTCTATTAATTAAAGCAAACAGGTACTTTCAAGTTTCTTAGGCTCAATGCCTACAGGTTAGGTTTTGTGCATGGTAAAATTATATGTAAACCTGTACCTCCCACTTGAGAAAAACTATAAAAATTAGTTTAGGAAAATATAGTTAGCCAAGAAAAAAACAAAATTTGCATGCATAACAATGTAGAGGAATTAACAAAGGATACAAATGCTGGAGAAGAAGTAGTATAAATATAAAGCTGTTGAACATTGGCTTTTACAAACGTTTCAGCGGAAGTTGTGGTTTTCCAGGTTTGACCCTTATAAAAAACTTCCTTTAAATAAATGTTCAAAATGTTCAAATGCTCAACTTGGAAACTTTAAGTTAAACTTTTCATGATAGACGAGAACTGCGACATTTTCACAGTATCATGAGTTATACTAGCATTGTCAGGTCAATGAAATACTGATAATAACTGTCCTTGTGATTACCTGGTAATCAAATAAGGAGATAGCCTTGATCGCTTGGCTTCCAACCATTTTGTTCCAAATCTTTCCTCTCATGTCATCAGGTATACTTTGCTTAATGAAGCGCCGCACCTGTGTATGTGGAGATGCTTCACAGTATATATATCTTATTAACCAAGTGCGAGGGCTGTACTGGGAGAATATCGGCCTGAGGTCTTGACAGTACGGACTGAGCGCAGCGAGGCCCGTACAATAAAGACCGAGGGCCGATATTCTTCCAGTACGGTCCCGAGCAAGCTTGGTTTATAACAGATTTATTATGCGACTGAAGTTCAAAGGGACACAAGTGCGGTATCATTCAGGACCATTCGGGAGTGCCCGTCCAATACTGAGAGAATATTGACCGGCGATAGAGCATTTTGATTGGTTGATTTTAGTTATTGGCCCTCTGACTGCCCGAGTCTTGTAATAAGATTATGATCATGAACATGTAGGAATCCCTTAGTCAAAGAACCATATTGCAGCTATAGCTACAGTATGTACAAGGTACCTCAATTAGGGACTGACTGTCCTTAGTTTACTTAGAAATACTGCTAGATTGTGGGAACAAATTATAGGGTGAGGTCAGATTAATGAATAGTTGATGTTGGATTGATATACCTGTCAATGGTTGTACGATAGTGGACCAAATGTCAACCAACAGAGGGAAGATTACCAGTTCACTCACATTTCCTAAGAAATCACTTGTTTTTTATAACCTCATGATTTATGTGCAATAGTCATTAAATAAACAATTTATAACGACACTTGTTTATTCAAGACTGGTTAGCTCAATTGGTTAGAGCACTGGATTGTGTTGCGCAGGAGGTCGAGGGTTTGAGCCCTGGCCGGACCAATACTCATGGTCTTAAAATAACTGAGGATAATTTGCTACCTTTCTATAATATCAAGAAATGGATAGATATTCTAGTCTTCTCGGATAAGGACAAATAAAACCGTAGGTCCCATCTCCTGCAGGGTTAGGGGTAAGAGACGTTAATTTCCCACACACAAGATTACTGTGTGGTGGATGTCCTCCCCGGGGTGGGATGGTGGGCACAAAGGGGTTAGGTGTCAATTGGGATGAAAGCTCTGTTCCTTTCTCCTGCCATTTCTGTGGCGAACAAATTAAATTCCTAAATTCCAAACACTTTCACAATAGTTTTTATGTAATAAGTTGAAATACTCACACATTTTGGTCTTATTTAATGGAGGACAGATGTATAGATGTCATCACCATAAACAATTTTTTGATTTGTTATTGTATAAAAGAAATAGATTCTATGTTGTCAAGATAGATTATAGAAGATATCAAAATGTGATAAGTATATCAGTGACACACTCAGCTGTATCTTGTGTGCCACTTTTTCGTTCTTACCACATTTTGACATCATCTGTGATCTAGCTATTATTGAACAGGCGCATGGCAACCTAGAATCTATTTGAAGTTGATATCACTATTTTCCAC